TAAACTATGGGTAGTTAAAATTTGCAGCAAAACTGCAGTGGTGAGTTACTTCTTCTTCACGTACACAATCACACAAGAACCCTTAGCTAATTGGCTAACTAACAAACTTTTCCACATTTCAAAAGAATTGACACGCACTGAAATCTTCCTTCACGTTTTGTAAAGTTGGCTAAACTGTGTCTGTCTCTCTCTGGTAATTAGTGACAAACCCCATCATCAATCACCATCTGTCAACAGCTATTGTATCTACCAACGACTCCACTCTATCTTGTAGAATCACAAACAAGTATTTACACACCATGTATATCCTTGGAGTAAGCTCCTTACTGCGATTTTTGCAGGCTTGAATAGGTGAAGATAATGTTTTATTCCGCTGGAACAGTTGTCTTCAATCTTCTTTAGTTGAACTTCTGGTGGCTCTTTTCCATTACACTTAGCGATCTTTCGAAAGATTGCAAGAGCCTCGTCATTTCTTCCATTCACGTGAAGCCATCTAGCTGATTCGGGAATGGCCCTTGCAAGAAAATAAGGATAGTCTATGAGAATTAACAGTCTGATAGTCTATCCAATATTGACTGGCCATGCAAAAACAGCTGAGGCAAAAAATATCGCAGTCAACAGAGGTTTTTCAAGAAACCTTCAAAAAATATTGTTCCACAACTCTCCCTTCTTTCTGCAGCCAGTTTCTTTGTATCGACATCAAAAGATATTATTTAAAAATTAAAAGAGTTAAATCAATTGCTTCTCGATTAAACAGTCTTGGTGTGGCTTTGTTGTTTCATGTAGCCTGCGTGCAGACTCTACTGTTTTCAACTAGGCTCCTCAGTTTCTACCTTTCCGCTGAGTTGAGTTGAATTAAATCGCTCGCAAGTGACTTAAAGTCATTTTGAGGACTGGGACCAAATCAAATGTTCTAAAAATAGCTTTTAACTGAATTTTTCGGCTTGAGTCTGTTTTGCAATTTATTCTACATTTTAAAGTAAATAAGTTGTGAAGTTTCATGCAGGTATCATATTCTGCACGATTGTTGTGCCTTGAGTGCTGGATGGTAGCAAATGGAACCCTTTCCTTCCTTCCCTAGTCTTTGGTTTTACTATCCGAATTATCAAGAAGATATATATATATATATATATAAATATATTCCTTTGCTATATGCAATATTTGATTTTAATTGTTCTCTCTCTAATCTACGTACTGAACTAAGCTTTTGTTCTAAAACTGAAAAGTGGCCCAGTCCTATTCCAGGTTTAATATATATGAACTGCGTACACCCTAAAATCAAAATAGAAAACCAATACAAAAAATGGTCGGTTGAAACTTCAAACATCACACTCAGTACTCTAACAGAGATCGGCAATGCACGTGCTATCTTTGCTTAGGACCTAAGCTTAATATTGTGCTAATCCACACGGTCAAGAAAAAGAAGGATCCCTGACAATGAATAAGAAAATTTCATGGATTAAACTTACAAGAAAAACAGCAAGATGAAAAAATATGGAGCTGTGATGACTATCATCAATGTTTTCCACGTCTGAACGAAGATGGCTATAACACCAAGGATGACAACGCTTACTGCAGATATTAGCCAAATTGCTATACCCGCAAATGGACGCCATTTTGGGCCTACAAATTCTGAAATTAGAACGATTGACTGTATAAAAGTTCCTGGTATGAAGAACCCAAACACTGCTCGTGCAAAAATGTAGAACCAAATACTTGGAGAGAACGAGCTGATGAACCCAAACAAAAGGATAAAAGTTGTCGATATCAGCATATTGATTCTTCTACCATACCTAAAAACAAGATCCAAGTTTTAAGCAAAATGTTCAACATTGACAGCGATAATGAAAAGGGCTGGCGCAGTATTGGAAACACAGAATAGAACAATAGGACTGAATGGCTGGGCCACTCCTTCTTTTGGGGACACTCTTAAGAGAATAATTTGGCACACCTTATATTGCCACAGGATTTCCTTCGTTTTAAATTTATTTTACGCTTATCAAGCACGAGAAAAAGTGTCGTTAGAGAAACAAAGCAGACATCGTGAAACCGCTGATGTTTCTATACATTTTATTACGATCAATAGGTCATCAGATTCATTGTGGACCGAAAATGATTCAGTTTTCCAATCACTTACCTATCTGACGCCCAACCAAGAACGACTGCTCCAAATGCCCAGCTGATAAAAACTGAAGATGTGGCCAAGTAACTGTATACTTCAGTGTCGCAGTGCAAATCGAACTGAAATAAACGTTCATTTTAAATTTGAAGTATAGAGTAAAACCCCGTTTGTAAGTGCCAGCATTTTCGGTTAACCCTATCTAGACCAAGCTCTTTTGAGCATCCTCAGGCTAATTCAGCCCCCCCCCCGTCATTTTTCCAGACTGGTTAGCAGTAGAGGGTTAAGATTTCTATACGATTATACCCATCAAAATATCATGACGTCATAATGAAATTTTAAATCTTATCAATTTTTTTTATATTTAGCAAAAAAATCTTTAAGATTCACTTAAGATATCACAGAAACGTAATTTAATGTAGGTTTCGCGAAAGCTAAACAAAACAGCTTATCATAAACAATGATGCCACTAAAGAAACAAGAATTTTTGCGCAAGTCTAGATACAGGTCTCATGCCTTCCTATATCCCACTCAGAAGCACAGGATGAATCAAAACAAATCAAATATCATTTAATAAGTAAAAGCTTACTTTCCTCATGTTGGCAATTTCTAAAGATAGTTTTTGAGTTTTTTAACAACGGCAAAATGTTTCTTACGATTAAAATTGTAATGATTACATTTGGCAAGGTAGCCAATGATTTGACGTTGTCTAAAGAGAACTCTTTTAAAATCTTTTTGCCATGGCAACTGTATGCATGAGCATCACTGCTGAAAATTCTTGTTTGCGTAAGAATATGAGAGAGGGGCTAAATCACCCCTCACCTTTCTGGTTCAGATAGGATTTAGCGTAAACGAATACTTCAACATACTGCTAGTTAGACCCTGTTTAACCGGAGTTAGTCCAGAGGATCGCCTCCAACACCCCTAAGTTAGGCATGCGTTATTTACCCCAGATGGTTTTGGAGCACATTCCTTGCTAATCTTCGTTCACAAGCCGAGTTCGAGTTTTTCCCACCTTCCTTTTTGTTTATTGGTTCTTGAGTTTCTACTTTCTTCCGTTTCTCAGTAGGCCTTAGCTTTACTAATGGTACTTATCTTTGATTGACGCTTGGCCAACAGAAATGAGTGAGGTTGGGCAAAGGTGGCTTAGGTTATATGGGCCTGCGAAATAATGTTATTTGTGATTCATATGTATAAAACCATGATAAATAACGTAGCTCCTTATTTTATCTTGATAAAATTTCAACCTTTTCACCAAAAAGATTGTTTAATTATCGTTAATCCTAATTTTCGCAGAAGCCAACAGGCGCCTGACAATGATAATTTAAGAAAAAAATGTAAGTAATTGTTTATACGTTTGCATGTCGAAATAATGCTCGACAAGCAACTTAGGCTACGTTCACACTGCTCCGTATTCGTTGATGAAAACGCTGTCCGTTCACATTTATCCGTTATCAAATGAATACAATTTAAATACGGTAAGTGTTCACACGGCTCCAACAAAAACGCTGTTGGTTTGGTGGCCTCATTTTTGAAAAGAGGCGTTCACGAATCCTCAACAAATTAGCGTCATGAGGCTACGTTCACACTGCTCCGTATTCATTTGGCTCAGTTTTCGTTGATGGAAACGCTGTCCGTTTACACCTATCAAATGAGTACAATTTAAATACGGTAAGTGTTCACACTGCTCTAACAGAAAAGCTGGAGTATGAAGGGTCAGAATAAGGATCAGAAAGAACAAGATGAAGAATAACTGCCAATTTCTGGATCGAATTTTCCATCCTGTTTTTTTGGACCCCTTATTCTGACGTTACATGCTCTCAGAAGTTTCGTATGAAAAAGATTTGAGCGTGTTTAAAAGTTTTGCTTTTTTCAAAAGTTTCCAAAATTTTCAAAACAAAATATGTTCTTTTCAAGGTTTTCAAAAAATCTTTCAGAATTTGCTGATCAAAATTTCGTCTTCAATGAATATTACAATGACAAAGATCTGGAAACTTAACAATTAAACTTAAGAATTAAACTTAAGTATTAAACTTAACTGTTAATCTTAATATTGCTCAACTAAAAGGTGAAGCTGAACTTTTTATGGAAACGTACTTTAGACAGGAAGTCAATTGATGGTTGTAATCAATTTTGGTTAAGTTCAAAGATTAGTTGCCTTTTGAAAGTTTTCAAGTTTTTGAAAAAATTATTTTCAGGCAAAGGGCGCACCTGGAAATTTCCCGGTGTCCCGGTGGGCCAGTCCGCTTCTGGTTGGTGGCCTCATTTTTGAAAAGAGGTGTTCACGAATCCTGAACAAATTAGCGTCATTATGAATGAAGTTAAATAAAAGCAAATCGTGAAAAGCTCTGTTGTAACAGCTACCAGTCCACTGTGAAATCTCAAATTCAAAATTTTTTTAGATTTGGTGTGCTAGAAAGCCTCTAAATCTCTCACTGATTGGTAGCCCCTAAATCTAATCGCTGATTGGTAAAATACAAAGAGTCCTTCTTCCTTTCATGTAACTTTCAATCAACACCTTTATTTTATTTTATTCTATTTTATTTGTTTTAAAATTCTTTCCCTAGGGTTACAATTCAGTTTGAATAACACTTTTACCATATACACTGCAACTTAAAATCAAAATAAGTAAGTTTAGTTTCGCCATAGCATCCCCATACTGAGCAACAATAGCTGAGATGGGGCTCGACGATACTTAAATACATGTTCCTTAACGTCTCCTCTTGTAGAATTGTTTGGCATCTTTCTTTTGAAGGAACTTTGCCTGGCTTCCCCATTTCAAATTTTCGTCAATCATGACACCAAGATATTTAGTTTCATGCACAAGTTCTAAATCTTTCCCGTTAACTTGGAAGCAAGGGGTGATTTCTGATGTTTTGTTTATCTGCCCCAGCTTTTGGGCTGAACCAACTATCATGGCTTGTGTTTTGACGATATTCAAGGAAAGCTTATTGCCCTGCAACCATTTCTCGAGGTAGGCAAGTTTTGCATTGACAACAACGTCAATTTCTTCGATTTTATCCGAAGAGTGGGAGATGGCTGTATCGTCGGCGTACATAGTAGCATGTGCCTTTCTTAAAGCGAAAGGAAGATCATTTATATAAAGCAAAAATAAGAAAGGTCCAAGGCAAGATTCTTGTGGTACCCCAATATTAATTTCTGCTGAAGCCATTGACTTTGCAGCACTGCCTACGATTGTGGAGATAAGAGCTGAAACATTGGTGTTCGAGACCATCAATCCCATAGTGGTGCATATTATGAACTATGACTATTCGTTTGGTTGAACTACAAGTTGGTTGTTAACTTGTTAACTTTTCAGCAGTTTTGTTAGGTCAGCGGTTTTGTTAGGTCAGCGGCTTTGTGTTGTTAGGCCGCTATTTTGTTTTTTGTAAGCACGTGTGGTAGCCTTCGTTCTTATTGCTTAGTAAAGCCTATTTTCTACGGCAATGACTCGTTAAATATTTATTACAGTGCATTTTATCAAGGAGAATTTTATGGTCTACGGTGTCAAATGCTTACTTTTAACTGATGAAAATCATTGCAGTATATTTACCCCGATCTATATTGAAGTTCCAATCATTTGTACATTTAAGCAAACAGGAAACAACCGAATGGATATGTCCAAAGCCGTACTGATCTGAGTACAGATGTTTGTTAGAATCGAGGTACTTGTAAAATTGATCATATATGAGTTTTTCAAAAAACCTGGAGACAACCGGTAAGACCGATATTGGCCTATAGTTCGAGCAATCATCAGCCCTGCCATCACCTGGGTATAAACATTCAGCACTCTTCTGATCAGGGGTCCCGTCCAAAAAAGTTAGAAAGGGGCTGTGCTGTAGGGAGTTTCCAAAAGTCACACCCAGGACTTCGCCTATAGCCACAACCAATATACTTGCATTTGTGTTAAAGGTTCGCTGTTGGGTAGATGAAACCACTCAAGCTGTTAAAAAACACAGCAAGATTGATAGGAAATCACTTATTGAAGGAAAATCACGAGAAAAAAGGGTTAATTCACACTTTTCAAATAAGAAAATCGCTATACCGAATATATACTGGCTTAGTAAGGAGAAGCGCACTCCTCCTTTCATTATAAACCCTTGTTTGCTAGAGATTGTATGAAATATCCAATTATGTGTATATTTACCACAAGCATGTGAAAACATCAATGCTTCTGTTTAGCTAAACTAATTTTGCAAGGCTCGTTTCAATTAAGTCTAATTTTGCAGAAAAAGTTTTGCAACTAGTGCTATCCATTATTTTCGTTTTTTATATTTCACATCAAAATTGACAGTACATATTCATTGGCCCATTTGTTTTATTTATCGATCAGTTCTATTAGGGTTGTTAGTTAATCATGATGATTTTAGTCATAAATTGTTAACAATACTATTCGTGGAAATGATGACCAAATGATTCTCCATTCAGTTTCATGTGATTAATTGTTTCATTTACAAATTTGAGCTTATCTCTAAACTTTACAAATGAACTTAAGCCTCCAAATTGAAAGGAATTAGGAAAACAATACAATTCTTGATTAAAACTAACTTACCTACTATACTGAACTAATGTTTTTAATGTCTTCCTGAAAATTCTTTTTGGTTATTGTCAGAATTTTGTCTAGTACAGAAAATACCAACAAACCAAAACAAGTTCATTTCGTGGTGTAACGAG